AAAACAACAACCAATTCAATATGCTATCCAAATAATGATTTCACGTTCTCGGAAAAAAGGGCGAATTTTGACTACACACTTCGATGGCTGGTGCGCCTTTAAGGCATTTCATTTTCAAAGTCCCTAACTATAAACAGAGAGCAAAAAAAAGCATCGCTACTGAAATCTATGGCATTTTTGAAACGAGATCGCTTTGTTTTCAGTAGCGAAAAAAATGCAGATAAAATGGGCGCAGCCAATTCGTACAACAAGAGTCGATGATGCGCTGATATTCCGTCCGTGTTGTTGCAACTAGTCTTTTACTTTGTGCCTGCACATGAACACACAACTCACAAATCCATTTGCAACGACAGCTCGGCAACGTTAAGCCGAAAATTGCACAACGAAATTGAAAAGAAGTATAAAGCATTGCTGGCTCGCGCGTTCACTACCCAAAACAGGCATCAGATGTGCATGCAATTTCTGCTTTTAGTTTTCATTATGAAAGCGTGCTCTTGCAAACACACAGAAACTCTTTCTGTGCGAGAGACAGGCACATACATGAAGCAACAAAAACAAAAGGCAGCAACACATCAACCAGGCCACATACATATAAAATGACTTTGCAATTTTCACCCGAAAATACATGCAGAAACATTGCTGTGCACAGGCAAATTACGACTCTAAGGCTAGAATAAGTGCCGACTAACTCGCACTGGGAAATATTTCAGAATTTTCTGGACCAAAATGAGCACACTGACAACAACAGCAGCAACAATCGTGATAGCAAAAATGGCGTCTGAAAAACTACGAAGGGAGAGAGAGAAAAAGAACAGCAACAACAGCCTCGCTGAAAAATTTCATAGAAAAAGTAGAAGTTCATTGTGCCTTCGCATCTCAATAGATGCTAGTTTCAAAGGGCGACCAAATTGCGACGAGAACAAACCAAAAGGCCAAAAAAGCATCCAAGCAAGAACGTAAAAATCAACAAACTTATTCATTCGTACACACACACACACACACCAGAACCAGAGTAAGAGGGAGAGGGATAGGGAGAAAGGGAATGTAAAAAAAAGGCTGACACATACCGGAAAAAAGTGTGCAAAAAACTTTGTTTGGCAGTTAGAACAGAATGTCATTAAAATTAAAACAAAACAAAATGAGTTTAACTGAAAAAAAAATGTTTTTATACATTTAAATCCCGTGCACATAGAGGCGATGGAAGCAGCAGAAAAAAAAATCGCCAATAAAGTAGCATGAACTGGTTGTTTTTATTTTGCAAACCATTTGCGTAGAGAAGTTTCCGTGAAAATAAAATAAAATACCATGTTTGACATTATTCGTTTTGTTGTGGATTCTTCGTTAGTATTTTTTTCTGCTCCACTGTTTACTTGCCACAATCGGTACGTCGGTTTTTTTCTCTCCACTTGATTTAATCTCTTCGCATGAATTGAGGCTTGAACATATATATATGCTCAAGCTCACTGACGAATGGAGTAATTCGATCTTGAATAACAATTTCACTCGGCTGGAACATTGCACACACACACATTCAGCCGCTTGGAAGCGAAAATAAGAACATTCTGTCGAATGACAACAACAAGAACAACAACAAACAATAAAAACCGAATCACATTCAGAGAAATCTGGTATGGTTTAAGTAAGAACCAGTTGAGATTCTTGTCGTGTTTCCTGACATTGACCATTCCACACGACGATTCGAAAGCAGCGACGACATTGGTAAAAGTCGCATATGAATGACGATAATCGTTTGCATTTCTTCATTCTATTTTCAACGTGTATCTCTCTTTCACCTCTTTATTGCAATTGGAATTTCGATGTCGTTTCATTAATTCGATGATGTGTGTGTGATAACAAGATGAAAAAAAGAAGAAAAATAGACAGAAACAGTGATCTGTTCAAAATTCCGGTTTTGCATTTAGGCTCATGCATACAAATTATGCGAACACTTGTTTAATTCTCGGCTGGGTTGTGTGTTATGTGTTGTGACTTTACAGCTCATCAGCTCATCGCCTAAAAACACTTTACGTATTATATTTCGTCTTTTGCTTCGTTTGATGACTTTTCATTGTAAATGGTGTTATAATCGTCGCGTTTCAAAGCGAAACGAAGCAAGAACGAACGAAAAATGCTTTTATTATTTTCTCTCGTCCACGAAGAATTCATTTGAGGAATTAACGGTTTTTTAAAATCGAAAGAGATGAAAAGAAAAGAAAAACAACACGTTCGAGACGCACTGAAAGACAATACCAACTGAATATTTTCCAAAAGGTAAACGGATTTTTTGTTTGGACAAATGCTTGTTTCGGCTCATTAGAATTTCGGGTGCTTAAAATCATGGTGTGTTAAGATATGGGAAAAACACAAAGGAATTAAGTGAGCCGCTGTGAGCGAGCCGGTGAGAGAGGATGAGACGGGAAACACGACCGAAAGCAACACGTAATGTGGTCATAATGGACTGATGTCGATCATCATGTACGCCGTTGTTATGAATTTGATTATGATGATGAAATAAATACCGAAAATCAATACACATTTTAGTCTCATGTACCATCCCGTTTTCATCCCGAGTTCAATAACACCCGAAAATTGGATGGAATTTATTACGAAACAGCATCTCGTATACGATGACGGTACAGTGCCAATGATACTTAATATTCTGAGCAGCCATTAATTACATGGAACAAGCGCGTTCATCGTCGCCCAAAAAGGGAACAACGCCATTACTATGGTAACACACTTGGTCAAATTTCAGTGCTCATTTTTGGGATTTGCCAATAATGGCCTTCTAATTTATGATCATTTGTGCGCCAGTAATCACCTCGCCTGTGAGAACAACAGAGAAAGCACCTCTTGACGAGACGCGTTTCGTTGATAATGTCAAAAATTTCGTTGGCAAATAGGTCGATGATGCGAAAAGATAAAATCACTTCAGTGCCATTCTCTCTGTCGATGTTGTATAGTGTACGCTCTCTGTTCCACGATGCGAAACGTTTGATGATGCCTTTCGTTGAAATCCACCAGCAAATAATGTTCAATTGACAATTGACAATTTAACAAATTGAAGTGAATACATTTTACAACGCGCGATTGCATGCAAAATGTCGTCGTATCTTCGACATCATTTCATCTATCGAGTGCGTGTCAAGCGACTCGAAAGACGGCTTGAGAGAAAGAGAGAGATAGGGAGATAAATGGCGCGCACGCCAAGCAAGCGAGAGGAATGAGAAATGAAAAGAAATTTAATTCAATGGAAATTCGTATTCAAATTAGCTTTCCACCAGAAATGGAAAATCAAAAGCGAATTCAATTGAATTGGAGAGAGATAGAGAGAGAGAGAGAGAGCAAGCGAGCCAAAGTGCTTGCGCGTCACATTGTCACAGCAATTCTTGCTCCTGCTCTCTTGTTTCTCTCGCTCTCTCTGTTGACGTTGCGCATATTTTCTATGCCAGCGTACACATTTCTATTTAAATATCAATTGATTGCGTGTATACATAGAAAAGACAGAATGATACAGCCATTGAAATTGTTCTATTCTGCAAGAATTTCGTGGCACTTGAACTGAAAAGTATTGACACACTTGGACTCATACCCTTCCTCCTTCTTCGCTTCTCTCTCTCTCTCTCTCTCTCTCTCTCTCTCTCTCTCGCTCTAGCTATGGTGCGATGTCATTGCGCCATAGCACCAACAAACAATTTACATTTTATTGATGTTGTGTTAAGTGTGTTGTGTTCCCTTTGCTCATATATTTGACGCAGGAAGGCGCGCAATCAACGCCCGTCCTCATAATTACACGTAGAAATCAACAAGAGCATTCATCAAAAGGTTTCTTCTTCGTATTTTTCTTGTTGTTGTTGCTGTTTCGTTGCTCTCGAGCGAACAAGCCATTATACATTCGAAAAAAAAACCAGAATTGTCAATAAGTTGACAGCTGTCAATCGTGTCATGCCTTTGTGTGTCCATATCACAAGATATAAAAAGCATAAAATATAAATTAAAAGCCATCCAGGCCATTCACGTAGCAATTTGTATTGTAAATCAACATTTAAAAAAATATGACCTTATATTAAAAGCAAAACGAATCTCTCTCTCTCTCTCGCATCTTGCATTAAAAATAAAGTACAAGAACAGCAACAAAATTTCAACTCAGATTGAATCTGAGATTGAGAGTGTAAATTAAAAAATTCCATCGCTTTATTGCGTTGCACAGTTTGTGTGTGTGTGTGTGTTTTGTATTCTGTGGCACCGCGTGAGTCTCTTTTCGTTTTTCAATATTCTACTTGTTGTGTTTTCCAAGCATAAAACGTTTCAGGTTACGATTGGCATGCGATGAAATGCCATTTTTTCACATTCAATACATTTCTCTCTCTCTCTCTCTCTCTGCGATGCTCGCAGCCCGTACTATGCTCGCTGTGGTGACGATGAAGCAACTATGTTTCTTGTTTCTTCTTGTGCAAACGTCAATAAAATCCAAGAGATCTGCTCGAAAAGCGCACAACAACGATGGAAGCGACGAGAATAAATGCAAGATCATTTAATCATAAGAGCTTAGATTTTATGTACGTAATCAAATCGGACGAATTATCGAGTGTATTAAATTGTCTTCAGCTTGATGGAAAATGCTTGGCTACCGATGAAAAAGGGAGAAACGACGCAAGAATGGAGGAAGAAAGAAAAAAAAGGTAAAAACGTAGCGCACCTTTTCCAGTCAAAAGCCAGTCGTAAGCTTTAATACACCTAGACACAACGCCATTAAAATTATGAAAGATGCGTTATGTAACGAAGTTCTTCTTTGTTTTATTTTTTTATTGAGATAGAAATATCTGTACCGTCATCAAAAATTATTATTGATGGACACAATAGAAAGGAAAGAAATTCAGACCGAATTTCTTTTGATTTTTATTCGAACATCACAAATTAAATTCTTCCGAATCCTTTTTTCTACTGATGAAATCAGACAATTTTTGTTTTAAAGAGCAAAAAAATGAGCATAAACTTACCATGACGCGATTCGTCGATGAAGAATGCTGTCTGTTGTAGTAGTCGTTATCGCCGAGACTTTGAAAATACTTTTTTGTACCGTAGACTGTGTCCATTTTTGCGATGATTTGTCTGTTTTCTTCAATATAATTCAATTGTCTATTTCTTGCTCGGTGTTTTTTTTTCTTTCTTTGCTCAACTTTTTGTGATTGGTATACGTATGTAACCGTTCAGTCTGAATGCAGGTCAGTTTGTGGGAATCAATTTCATGGGAATGTACAACTGTAAGTAGAAAAAAAAAAGTCATACAATTATTATACATTAATCATTCACAATATGAATTAGATTATGAGTGGTCTCATGAATGAATTATACCATATGATTCTAACAAGACAACATCCATTAATGTACAGATACCAGAACAAACACTAATTTTCGAAGAAAAAAAAACAACAACAACACACAATGACTCAATTACAATATGGAAAACAGAACAAAATGATGACAAGAGAGAGAGAGAGAAGAGAAAAAAAGACAATCAAATCAAGAACAAAAATGAAATTAAGTCAAAAGCAGCAATTTTAACGGGCATTACATATGTTTGAAAGTTCGTTGAAGTCAGGTAACCTTTTAAGCATTAGCCATAACCATTCTCAACAGAGTTATAATAATCATACAATGAAATCGGAATTGCTGGCAACAACAACAACAATGGCCGTATAACAGACATTGGATACACAAAAAGGGCACCAACAACACCGTAGCCACTTCATTTATCGCTTATATGTGTATTCGATGTGTACTCCGCTTTGGAATGCAACGTACAACATCCAAAACGCACCGACAACACACAAAATCACATCATAATTAAATAACAAGTTTTGTTACTGTGCAATGCTGAGTGTTTGAACCTGGGATATGTTGTTGTTTACTCATCCATAAGTCCACTTCAAATGCTTGTTGGGAGAAAACCACGAGAAGAACATGAACGAACCGAACAAAAACAACATTAAATTAAATGAAAAAAAAGAGCGCGGCGAACGCATGGATGTTTGTACATGGCCACTTCAATTGGACTGGCTGTATGCACGGGCATGCTGTTGTGTGGAATGTAGCGGTGAGCTGTCGTGTGTGTATGTTTCAAACTTTTTTTCCTCTCTATCTTCGATTTTTTTCTTCCATTCTTCAGCTCATATATTCCTCTCATTGGTTTTTCGTTTGTTTGCTTTCAACAATCCCGATATTTTTTTCAATCTATTTGAAGTTTTCCTATTTGCTCAGCGTGTTCATCCGTCGTTCGTTCGTATTGTATAGACATGAGACCATCTTTGTTGGTTTTTTTCTTTCTCTATCTCAATTCTTTGTCAAATATTTTTGTTTGTTTTATTCAATATTTTTTCCTTATTCGATTTTCTATCGAAGTTTTGTGTTGAGAGTTTTATACAGTCGTTTGTTTCTTCTTTTTCTCTCGTCGTCGTCGTCGTTGTTGTCGTTCCATTCTAAGTATGTGTGAGCAAATGTGTATTTGTTATTCCATATCTTTTGCGCTTTGCCGCTATTTACTTTCAAGATTTGATTCGATTCCAATCACAAAGACCAAACGGCCATCATTCGATTCAGTTTTATCGTAATGCTTTTCTACTTAAACCATTCCATAACTATTAGTCCGTGCCCGTTTTGTCCATGTGTGTCTTTTGTTCTCTGCCATTGAATTTAATTCCTTACAGTTTGTTCCATAAATAAACTTCAATGTTCAATGTTCACGTTGATCTGATTTTGAATGATAAAAAAGCAGCATGAACAGAAACAACCGCATATATATCGAACACGAGTCGATTCAACGACAGCATACGATGAGAGAAACATATCCGATACAGAGCATATAAAGCGTAGAATTCGCGAATAGTTCGATTGCAAAATGGGAGAAAAAAAAACGCAAAATTCAAATTGAACATGGGTTTTCATCGAACTCCCTGAAATGACATGCTCTTTTTCTCCTCTCTTCATCTCCCGTTTTTCTTTTTGACTCTATCGCTCTTCGTTTGGATTCTAATAATCCAAGTTTTATACGTGCACTGAGTCACAAAACCGCAGCTCGCCAATAGCATTCTACCCACAGCGCATTCACTGATCATACGGCTTCTTATGGTCAAACGAGTACCATACGAATCCAAAAGACGAAATCAACACAAAAATAATGGCCGGAATATGTTGAGCAGCGCATTAGCGGTGTTGTTGGTTTGTTCTTGACGAACGAGAAAAAAGAAGAGAACGAAACGAAAAATACGATTTGGTGAAATACACAACATTCCGTCGATTGAACCGAGTATTGAGGAAAAAGTTAAGTTTCGAGCAACACGACGATGATGATGATGATGACGACGACGACGACGACAACGGAAAGAACAACAAACGAAAAACCAACGGTACAGAGAGCACAGAGCTGAAAGCAGAAATCTCAAATAAAAGTTGATCTTCAGCTCTTCAAACATATTTTCGATTGTTTCTCTTTAGTCTTCTTATCGTCGTTCTGATTCGAATTTGTTTCGTTCGTTCGTTGTCTCTTTTCCTCTGGAGTTCATGAGATGATTACAATTTCTGTTTTCTTCACTCTCTCCGTTTCTCAAATGTGGCACGTTCTACCTCTTGCTTTTTTTGCTCTCCTTCGCTCACTCGGTCTCTATCTCTGTTTCACTTCAACCATTTCCGAAACGTTTATGACTTTTCATTGTTGTTTTTTGCTTCACTTTTCATTCGGTGTGCTCTCGTTTTGTAGAACAAAGAAAAATTATTTTCATTTTAAATTGAAACTTGTTTCGGAATTAGAATTATTTTCCCATTGATTTCATTGGTAATGTCAATGATCACCGTTGGCCACAAAGCGTAAAAAAAATTGGCCATTCCTTACTGCACGGTTGATTGTATCGCTGACCGAATTCGCGGATCATCCGGCTCAATGTGCAATAATATGCGTGTGCATAACGTGATTCGCAATACGACTCGCTGTCTCTCTCTCTCTCTCTCTCTCTCTCTCTCTCTCGCATACATACATCGGAGAGAACCGACTCTCACAACCAATTTTCACATTCTCTGCCCGAATCAACTTCGACAATCGATGCACACCGCTCATAATTCTGCATGCAAACAGAAAATCGAAACAAAACCATCAGATTGAAAAGAAAGCGTTGCATTAAGCGGAATACATGAGTTAATGAGTTTTTGTCGAATTCGCACACGTTGCGAACGTTTGGGGTTGTGATTCATGGCCGTACGTTCCCAAAAAAACTAATATTTTGCGAGTCGAAACACCGTGAATCGCTTGTCGATACATATCCATGCTCCATTTTCAACCGGCCAACCCAAAAAGTGAATTGGTATGTCGAGCATTTTTCGCCGCTATGCTTTCCATTCAGTTGCAAACCGATTTGAATGACACAAAAATCTCGCTTTTATTTACTAGCTCGTCGTCATGATAGCGAAATGGAGCGATTTAATTGCGGCAGCAATGAGTTCATATTTTCCACGGATGATACAAGCACATATCACATATGCAGCGCGTGCGGCACGACAACTGGTCGGCGCATAATGGCAGCACATAAAAATGCCAGCGCTCGATTCTTTTTCGCTCTCTCTCTCTCCCGTGGTATTATCTCGTCGAAGCGAGAATCATTGTGTTCATACAAATTTCCGGCGAAATTCAAATCGGAACGACCGAGATAACGTGATGAAAGTTACAGAACAGAAAAAAAATGGAACGCAAAATATAAAAGTAAAATTTATTTTTTTCACTCGTTGTTCCAGTTCATACTCGACATTTCGATGCTATTTTAGATGTTGTTGCTCCACTGATTGTTTGTGTTTGGTTTTTTTCTTTCTGTCGTTGCATGATGAATAGATTTCATTGTGTTAACCGGACGAAATACTGTGAGCAACAACAAAAAAAGTAACAACACCGTGAACGGAAAAAATGTGCTTCAAACAATTTCAAGTTTGTTGATATGATTCACTCTTTATCTGCAGGCGTCACAACAAAAAAAATTTCACTTGAAATTGAATCTCCATTCATGTGTTGAGTGGAGTGTGTGCCAAATCAATTACGAATACAATGATTCACGGCGAAAGTTTGTACATGTGTTTTTTCTCATTTCGTTCGTGGTTTTTTTTTTGTTAATTTCAGATCAGCCATTGTCTCTGACATTGAATCTAGTGCATCTATCAACTGGTTCTGGTTTTCTCACTCTCTTCGCGTCCGCCATTTCTTTTTATCTGCCGGCTGTTCGTTTTTTTCTCGTCGAAACAGATCACATTTAGTCTTTTGACATCCGATAGAATCGGACAAATGGTTTTTTTTTTTAAAGAAAAGCAAAACTGTGCGACGTGGCCGAACGTGCTGTACCTGTTCGAACACCCGAGAACGGTTTCATTTCTAATGGCTTTCCAAATGGTTTTTGTGACCATTTTTTTCCCAAAAGGTTAATCAACTTTGAAATCATTCATTTCCAATGGAAACGACTATCACTTTTGACGGTTGTGGTGACAAAAACAATGTCACGATGTTGGGTCGATCAATAAAGTGCACCATTTTCTTGTCTTAGATTGAATTCTATGTTAACAGAACAGTGGAAAAAATGATAGCATCGTGTATATGGCACAGGATGTGCTCGTTATTTGTCGCAATAAATAGAAGATGGAATTTGATAATTGAGTAAATGGAGCAAGATATAGAGAGAAAGAGAGAGAGAGAGAGAGAGAGAGAGAAGAAAGGAGAAGAGTCTCTTTCAGAGAGAGAGAAGGGAATAAAGAAAAATGGGTAGAAAGAGAAAAAAAAACCTCGAGAATCAAGAACCAAGAAGTATTCTCTTTCAACATCTTCAGATTGAATAAAACAGGAAATCGATCCGGTTTTCGGTTATAAATAACATGGATATTGCTCGGGCATAGTAATTGAAATCAAATATTTAATGAAATATGTAAAACCACTTCATAAATGAGCTCTAACGATCACATGATATATACACACGACGAATTGAAATTAATTTTCAGTGGTGTATACAAAATCGATACTCGAGTCTCCACTTTAAATCTGATACCAATTCAGTATCGATTCCGAACGACTTTCAATATTTTAATTATGCATCATACAAATATTAACATGACACGCCATTCTCTGAAAACCGATAAATTCGAGTGAATTCCAATCGACGAATGAATTTTTCATTTGACGTTTTAAATCCCTTGGAATTTACTGTGTTCGTTGTTTGATGGAGGGAGGATAGGGTTCA